TCAACCAATAAGCTAGATAAATTAGTCGGTCAATTCAATTGAAGAATACAATAGGATTGTTAGATAGCCCATAACCCTAGATCGTTTTCATTACATTGATATCATTAAAATCTGCTCTTTCTCTGTTCAAAGTTTATTATTTATATTTTTCTTATTTAATTAGTTAGAATAAAATATTTTTAGATTTAATTCTTGTTTAGATAATTAGGATAGTCTAATTTAGTTAATAGCTAATCATAAGTCCTCGTGGGTTCGACATCCGACTTTTAGTCACTTTATTACTTGACGACCGCGTATACTTGCGTGAGTGTGTTTGGTCGCAACACCAAAGATCAAGAATATAAGCAGTGAATGCATATGCATCCAATGTCTCAAGCTTGGACTAAACGTATGCATACTGAAAGTTCTTTAAAAATAGGTATGTTATATTAAGATGTGCACTCGCTGCCTTAACATTCTAAATTTAACCCTCTTATAGGTGAGACCTGAGGTTCTACTGGAAGAAAACGAGAAAAGCGAGCACTTGGTACAAATAGTTACCTGCTGCAGGAGTAATGCAAACTAAGCCAGTGATCATCCCTTGGGTAGCACCAATGACAGAAGGCTTTTCATAGAAGAGAATGTCTAACATTAGCCAAGTGAGCAAACTCGCAGCAGCGCATACATGCGTGTTAAGCACANTTCAGGACGGCTAAGGATGCATCAAGACTAGCAACATATGGATCGCCGCCATTGAATCCTGTCCATCCCATCCATAGAATGCCAGCACCAGCCAACATTAACAATATGTTATTTGGTGGGAACCTCTCCCTGTCTCTTGGCGCCCTTGGTCCGACCTACATTCATTCTTCATACTTTAGAATCTCAGCAATTTTTCCATATACTAATAAAAATGGAACAAAGAAATATATTGGTGCTACATTGACCTAACAAATGAAACTGAAAGAAAAATGAATGTGATACAAAACAATATTTTATTTGACTTCCAAATTTTAATAGAAATTTCTTATTGACGAGCTACAACAGTTACACATGTATTAAAACAACTAAAAGGATTATTGATATCAGTTCAAATGGAAGGAAAAAAATCTGTTGATAAATGATTCCCAATTTGTTGGCTATTACTTATGGAATCCTGCGCTGTTTGATCTTATAGTCCAAATAACGCTCCAAATGCCTATACATAGAAGCATCTTATGTATCTTTGCTCACAGAAATTGTGACATCTCGAGTGAGATACATACCCAATAAGCTGCAGTGAAACCAGCAACACCAGAAGAAAGGTGAATAACAAAACCTCCGGAATAGTCAATAACTCCCATTCGGAACAACCAACCTTGAGGGCACCAAATACTAAAAGCACCAACTGTATAAGAAAAAGTAAGCCAAAGAGGAACGAACAACATCCATGCAATAAAATTCATCCTCCCAAGCAAGGCACCAGCTATTAGAATCAAAGTGATGGCCGCAAACACAAACTGAAAATAAACCATGGAAGCATTTGGATACTTGCCGAAAAATGCTTGACTCATTAGGAACTTCTGGTCCAAGGCATGAATATCTGGTTTTCCAAGAAATGGAACTAATGTGTCACCAAAGGCTAATTGATATCCCCAGCCAACCCAACAAACAAGGACTGCTGCAAAAGCGTAAAGGGCCATCAGAGCCGAGTTGAGAGCCCATTTCTTCTTGACGATGCTACCATAAAGGATGACAAGACCTGGTATTAAGACATTATTTTAATTAGATAATCAAAAGTGTGTTCTTTCTAACTATTTATTCTTTAAGAGAAATGGTCCCATAATTCAACATGATATCAGAGCTATGTCTCGACACATTCGGTGACATCAGGCCTGATTTTTTATCATGGACCAATTAAACACGTGAAAACTTTTTTTATGCTTTTTGAGTGGCATTGAGATTTGAACCCAAGAATTCTGCGTACTCTAAAACAAGAATGTTTTGAGTATATCATCTAACAATATTATTGACAAGAGTTATAGGCTTATAGCGTAAGAGTCCTAATACCTGGAACACTTTGAAGGCCAACGAGAGTGGCTGAAGTCAATTGCCAAGCGTTATCAGCTTTGTTCATCCATGGGGGATTTGCATCATCTGGTTGGAGGTTTCTAGGCAAGTACGCCATTATTATTAGTTGAAGATTTCAGAATACCGATATAAAAAAAAAGGTGCATAAATTCACTGCTCGAAAATCACACAGAAGATCGATGAGAATATGCGCTATATGAATCTTGAATGTAGGATTCTTTAGATTACAGGCGGAGAATTCAAGCGCTAGAGTTAAAAAGCAAGTGCGAAACAGGATTGATGTACGCAGCTTTGGAGATCCAGGTCGATACTTCCCAACTGTAGGAAATTCTGAGTTAACTAAGATACAATTTTGTATTCCCTTATATATTAATATTGCTACTTCATTTGCATTAAAAATGGCATTAAATTGGCTCTTAGCTTGACTTACATCATCAACTTTATCTTCTTTCATGCAGCAGGTGATATCATGCATGCCAGGAAGTTGAAGGACAAATGAACAATTTGAGCAAAATCCAACGAAAATTGCTTTTACTCGAAATCTATGCTTCCAATTTGCCAACAACTTTTGAACTGCTATATTAAACTCTATATGTAACAAATAATGTTATTGAGAAAAAAAATGTAACAAATATAAAGCCTGTTGATATATTAATATCAACCATAGTACTTAAATTGGTAATCTGGTTTCCTCTGCAAAGAATATGTTGGTGTGATGGTAAGAATCAGAACGCTTTGCAGCGATATTTGGTGATGAAACTACTATCATCAAAATACATTTTAGACACCAATAATGATAAGCAATATTTATTGTTATTAATAAAAAGCACAATAATATCAAAGATTTGAACGTTATGAGTTTCGAGTTTAATTTTTACCCTTGTCCATTTGATTTATTAGGTTCAAATGTATTATATATTTGTATTAATTTACAATTTTTTTTAACACATACAAAATTTGAGTTAAAGCTATTAAATTAAGCTGAACATGTTTTTATTGCCCTAGATCCTGCCCTGACAGTAATTATCAAAGTTTCTCTCTAGTAAAAAGTTTTAATCTAAGGTTACTAAGTATTTCGATCTTAAATATATTAACTAACAAAACCTTTCTTGAAAACGAAGTATTCTCTATAATATTTTATTGCATATAAGACTTAATTAGCAGCTTCTGAACTGTTAATAAAAGATGAACAGAGGTTGTGTTGTCATCTTTAATTATAGATTTCGGGTTTGAGTTATGAGTATAAAATCGTTTTTGTTAGGAAATATTTTACCTCAATAAGAGACTTTCGGCATGAATCCAGAATTAATCGAGCCCCAATACGAATACCAGACATCACATGAGAAACTATAAAGAGAAATGTTAATAAAAGAGAAGTTATTACTTCATACTATTATAAAAGTTTTGTTATATGATTCTAGTTTTCTTGATGTCACGGTCATTCAAACTCTTGGGGATCGTGATGTCCCTCCTAACGAAGGCAGAAAACTAATACTCCACAATATCAACAAGAACGACAGCTAAATAGTGAAAAAGTAATTTTACAAGTAAACTTAGAAAACTTAAGCTCTCTTAGCTTAAAAGAATATACTATATGCAATTCATGACAGAGACAGGAATCGAATTTGTTTGTAAGGAAGGTAGGTTAGCTATACGTAACCAGGGAAAGAAACTAAAAATAAAGAAGAAGAAGAAGAAGAAGAAGAAGATGAAAAGGTTTCAACACGACCACGTTAGCTATTGGTGTCCGTATTTGATACCTTAACTCAAATTGAATTCCAGCATTGAGGGCAAAGGCTCACTACAAGAAAGTACGGATACGAATAAATGTCGTATAATGCTGCTTAAATGTCATAAAATCATTTACCGACATTTAATTTATATTTGTATCAAATGTCGTAAAATTTGGGGTCGGAAATTTTCCAACATTTATATAAATGTCGGTAAGGAATTTACGATATTTGTTTATGACATTTATTGAAACGTCACTTGAAATTGTTGACATTTAGAATAATGTTGGTAAAAAGATTATGACATTTATTTACAGCTTTTAAAAAATATCGCAATATAATTTACGACATTTTGGTAAATGTCAATAAATAATTTACAACATTTAGGTGAATGTCAAATAAATTAGTACCTTTTTTAAAAATCTTCTCAAATGTCACATTAAAATTTGCATATCAAATTTTCTAAAATATAAATAATAATCTTTTATTTAGTTTATATATATATATATTCCATTTGTACATTCATAAATGTCAATCTTTATACACAATGTAATAAATATGCAAAAGAAAAATTCTTTATATGTTGTATTTAAAGAACATAGTATTGACATAGTAAGGGTTCTCCTTACAAGTTAGAGTTCAAATCAAATGACTTATTATATCTCAAATAAAATATAATTCTAACTAAATCATAAAAGATAACGTAATTTTAACATGGAACTATATCAAATTCACTTCTCATCTGAATAAAATTCTCTTAAATTCTAGAATAAATTCTGCAACAAGGCTTTATGGATCCATCTTTCCACAAGCCAAGTATTTGTTGCCAATAATTGATCTTACATCCTTCAGAAGTTCTGCGAAGAATCACATAAAAGGAGAATTACAACTATGTAATAAAACTAGAAAAAATACCATATATGTTGCATGTTTTTTTCAAACTTACCCACTTTTTTTTTTGGTCCCAAGTTCATTAGTTTCGTTCCTCTTAATTTTGTTAACCCGAGAAAGAAATATTAGAAAGGTTACTTTGATAGTTTATAGAATGTAAAATTGAGCGTAGAGTACATGATACATTAATCAACAAGACAAAGCCTATAAAGCCCCAAATGTCGCACACTTCTACAAAAATAGCATAAAAACTTTAAATTAGAAGCAAAGGTCTAGAGGCAACATTTATAGCACCTTTATACTAGATTTTCTTTTGTGACAACATTGAAAAAGTTCTTTTGAACTATAAGCTTTACTATTCACAAATCACAAAGATATCATCCATTATAGACCCATCAATTCAAGTGAACATAAATTTAAAAAGTAGCTACAACTAAGCATACTTCAACCAAACAATGATAGAACTTTCGCCAAACCAAACTAAAGATGAATAGGCAAAAATTATAAAGAAATACGCCAGGCCAAAATTATCCTACTTATAACTCTCATATCTAAAGAAATAATAACTAGAAAAGAATTGAGTTTCACAAATTTATAAGATAATCTCAAACCTCCAATAAAAATAAATATAATGAATGTGATGATGTTATAAGACTTGGATTTATTGCATTTGTCTAAATACTAAATACACCATATTCAAGGGATGTGCCATGGTGCATGCTATTCACCGATGACATAGTTCTGATTGATGAGTCGCGAGCCGGTGTTAACGAGAGGCTGGAGGTTTGGAGACATGCTCTTGAGTCTAAGGGTTTCAAGCTGAGCAGGACGAAAACGGAATACCTGGAGTGTAAGTTCAGCGCTGAGCCGGGGGAAGTGGGCGTGGATGTGAGGCTTGATTCGCAGGTCATCCAGAGTAGAGGCAGCTTCAAGTACCTTGGTTCGGTTATCCAGGAGGGAGGGGAGATCGACGAGGATGTCATACACCGTATTAGGGTAGGATGGATGAAATGGAGGTTAGCATCTGGAGTCCTGTGTGACAAGAGAGCGCCACCGATACTCAAAGGTAAGTTCTATAAAGTGGTGGTTAGACCGGCCATGATGTATGTGGATGGGTGTTGGCCCGTTAAGAACTCACATATCCAGAAGATGAAAGTAGCAAAAATGAGGATGTTGCGGTGGATGTGCAGGCACACTAGGATAGATAAGATTAGTAATGATGATATTTTGGAGAAGGTGCACGCGGCTCCCATTGATGACAAGATGCGGGAAGCGAGGCTTAGATGATCGGACATGTTCAGAGGAGAAGCCCAGATGCTCCGGTACGGAGATGTGAGCGGCTGGTTGTGGAGGGCACGAGAAGAGGTAGAGGGCGGCCTAAGAAGTATTTGGGAGAGGTGATCAGGCAGGATATGACGAGGCTCCAGATTTTCGAGGAGATGACACTTGATAGGAAGATGTGAAGGTCGAGTATTAGGGTTGTATGTTAGGAGGTAGTTGAGTCGTGCCTTACTTCGTACCATTATGGGACTAGCCATGTAGGGTTTTTATCTAAGATAGCTAGTGGCAATATTGTGTCTTACTATTTTGTTATTCAGTGCAGGTCCTATTTACTAGCTATCGCTTTTGCTTTGCATCTTTCTTCTAGATTTCATGGTTGTTCCTATTTTTCTTACGATTGTTATGGTGATACTAACATTGTCTCCCTTTGCTTTGCATCTTTCTTTTGAATTTTATGGTGTTCCTATTTTTCCTATGATTTCTGTTGTGATACTAATATTGTCTCCTTTTTGTCCTTGTCCTTTTGTTATTTTTAGCCGAGGGTCTTTCGGAAACAACCTCTCTACTCCTTTGGTGTAGGGGTAAGGTCTGCATACACACTACCCTTCTCAAACCCCATTAATAAAATTTTACTGAGTTGTTGTTGTCGTCGTCGTCGTCTAAATACTAAACCGAAGAGAAATAAAGGAATGGAAAAGATGAGTAGGAAAGGTAGTTTTTTACTCAATTCATTCTAAGTAAGGTATAAAACTACTGTCCGAAATCAGTTTGCAATACAACTCAAATAGGTTGCAGCCACACTACGGAATTTGCTAAATATCCAATATATCAACAACTAAACTCCACATATTCTACTTAAAAAGTAATATCACAACACTTGGGGCAATAAAAAGAATACTTTCTTTTACTTCTAGAAAGGAATGATTTAAAATTAAAAAATATAGAGAATTTTTAGCATTAATGTATATGTTGGTAATTACCGACTATAATATGACATTTAAAATAAAAGTCGTAATTTTTTTGACATTTTATATCAAATGTCATTATTTTTATGACATTTTGAATCAAATGACATGTTTTTACTACATTTTGTCACAAATGTCGTTATTTTTACGATATTTTGTCATAAATATTAAGAATTTTTTTTTCCTGATATTTATTTTAAATGTCACTAAATAAATATCGTTGTATCTTT